AAACCAGCTGCCAAACAAACCAGCCTTGGCTTACTCGCCCTTCTCCGTTTCCTTCCCCTTAACCCTTTGCTGACAATACTGGCCTTTACAACTGGTTCTTACAGGAAAGGATTTATTACTGGGACTGAGGTGTTTTGGTGTTTTGTTCCTCCCCCTCTTGGCCATCTTCCTAATGGGCTTTTAAAAATGTTTTTCAGCATTCAGTGAGGATCAGAATTTGGGACCAAGGGGTTATGTGTGCTATATATCATTCATTCAGAGCTTGGGGAAAAATATTTTTCTGGAAGTAACTCTCAGAGTCCCCTAGCCAGCACAGCCTGAGGTCCAAAAAGTAAATTGTCCAAACTCTGTCATGATTTCACAATGTGCTTTGAAGGCTGTTTTGCCCCAGCAACACTGCTTGGGAAAAAGCCATGATAGGCACGTCATTTAGGATGCAGCCTTGTAAATCACAGGTGGGCAATTTGTCCCTATCATTGAGCAGACTGAAGAAGGTATTTCATACAGCAAGTCTAGGATGTCATGAAAGGGCATCATAGGCATCCTTCAGTCTCAAGAGACTATGGTAAGGTGCTCTGTATGGAGGACTTAGAAAAGCGTCTAGTGTTTTGACGCTGTACGGGAAGCTGGAGTGTCCTCTCCAGGACACGAAGCCTGGGTAAAATAATATGGAGGATAGGCTGTTACCCAACCAGCAAATCCCCCCTCTCCACGTCACTGAAATAGTCCAATGGAAAGGCAAGAGCCAATACAACTGGTTTCAGCGACGTCGCAGGAGTTGACAGAATGAAATGAACTGCCTCCGGGACAGCGGTTGCTACTGGATTTTTACTGGCATGGCTGGGGATTGAAGCTTTACCGATTTCTGCCTTGTGTCCAAATGATTTGACTGGGTTTGAGTACTTTGCACCTTGTCATGGGGTAGGTAGGGCTGCAACTGCTGGACTTCAGGCAGCAACATGTCTTGTCTACTGCTATCTCCAGATGTTGGTCGTCAACTCACATAATTGCTATGCCAGATAGGGAGCTGCAATCTAACAACATCTGGAACACAGCTTGAAAGGAAATAAGCAGGGCACCCCAGCTAAGGAAATCAGGGAATAGCATCCCAAAAGTAACTTTTCCAAGCTTCAGGCAGCAACCTGTCTTGTCTACTGCTATCTCTCACATAACTGCTGTGCCGGATAGGGAGTTGCAGTCTAACAACATCTGGAACAGAGCTTGAAAGGAAATAAGCAGGGCACACTGGCTGAAGAAATCGGGGAATAGCATCCCAAAAGTAACTTTTCCAAGCTCTGTTCTGGAGGGCCACTGCTCTTCCTGCTCATGTTGAAGATAGATTCTGCAGAAACCCAATGAAATTTACTTGCAATAAACAAGCATAACATTGCACCCATCATTTTTACTCAGTTTATAACCCTTACATGCCAAAATACTGCAGGAGGACAAGAAAGTACACCATGTCCTATGAGCATGGCAGACTCCAGATAATTTCAGCTCACATTTTTAAAAGCATCTTATCATTTTTAAATCATCAAAAATAAACAAACAAAAACATTAAAACTTTAGAATCTATAGAGAAGATTCTAATATTTGTTGGCAAAAATTATTTCCTATAGATTGCCAACAAAAGGCATTAGCTAGTAAGTTAATGAAGTCTATAGACCACAGCATAAATTGACGCCAATAGTATAAAATTATAAAATTAATTTCACTGTGTGACTCTTTTATAACTCTAATTAGTTGCTCCTGAACTCTCACCCCCATAGAACAGGGAACTACAACTCCCACATCCCTAACCAACATAGACATTGGCAGAGGATAGGGAGAGCTGTAGTCCTTCTGGAACACAAGGCTGAAAAGGACAGATTTAAATACAGTAGGATCTGTGGTTTCACTTATCTGCAGTGTGAAAATATTAAAAATATTTTTAAAAACAACTAGAAATACTGTATATATTTCTGCAGACCTGGCCACTAGAGAGAGCCAGAGACCATGCTATGTATTACATTGCATGATCTCTGGCTCTCTCTAGTGGCCAGTTTTATTAATACATGTGAAAATACTTTTTTTTCTGGATTTTTTTCTTTTATCATGCTATGTATAGTGTTCACTATTATCCATAGTCTGTAATCAATCCCCCACAGATATGGGGGTCCTATAGTAATGGTTCTTGGATCCCTGATCAGGATTGGCACTGAATCACAGGAATAAAACTATCACTCATGCCAATAACAGTTTCTTTCCTGTGACAAATGTCAACTGGGGTGGGGGGACTTTTATTATTATCTTTTAAAAAGTGAGAGGATATGGAAAAACCTCATAGTAGTACTGAAATTGAACACCCCCTCAGTTGTAATAAGTTTTTAAACATTTTGAGAGGTTTAAAAAGGAATCACACAACAAGGATGATTCCTATTTCACCGAGGACAAAGAACCTACTCAGTGTTTTAGTTTGACCTTCGTAGGACCTGTCCAGGGTCCTGAACTCCATCCCACACGGGGTTCAGCACACTGAATGGGTCCTTTAAATATCCAGTGTAAATTCACTCCTTTACAGAAGGATATCCACCACTCCCATGAAATCAGTATTGCCAACATCCAAACTTCAACACAATGCTAGTTTAATCCGAAACTGAGCCACCTGGAAAGCATTTTTCCCCAGAACATACAAATCAGCCAGTTTGGTTCAATGATTTGTCCCTGATTTCCCTGTGATGCCATTTGGACTGGAACAGTAAACCACTGAAACTTCAGTCTTGCAGATGTTGCCCATTAGCATGTATTAAGTTATCTCCTGTAACCACACTGTACACTGTTGCAAGTCCATCTGACTGCCTACCTTTTGAACACCTTTCTCCCAGTGTGAGAGGAAAGATGTTATTTGAAAGATGAGACTGGGAAAGTAACAGCCTGTATAGGGAGAACCTCCAATTTTCATATACAAGTGAGCCTTTCATCCCACATGCCCTTTCGAAAACCCTGTTCCAGGAACTACACAGGCCTGTGGAACTTATGGCTTTCCAGATGTTGCTGGATTCTCAGTTCGTATCCGTCCCTGCTAGTCTAGGCATGGGTGAAGGATTATGGGGACAGCTGTTCATCAGCACCGGCTCTATGTGCTTGTCTTCAGGGAATAAGGACTCGGAAGACACGGAAGCCTTTGTAACTTTATCCCACCATTCTTACATTCTTTTCATTCAGCTCAGATCTATTTGTTTGCATAGAAACCAACCTATTTCACACTAAAGACAGAGGAGTGGACTGCCATGGTAATAGTCAGCTTGCTTAATACAGGCAGCTTGAACGAACGTGGGAATTCAGCAGCAAGCCACAAACAGCACAAGCCCTGTCAGAAAAACCCGACCAACATAATCAATAAAGGAGTCTGGGAAGACAAAACCTATGCTTGAAGATCTGACACAATAAAACACAAGCACTTTTCATCATGCAGGGAAACATATGAGTAGCATCCAATGCAAATATTATGAGAGGTACAGAATTGATTCTCCTTCTGTGAACCAAAAGGAAGGGCCAGCAATGTCGTCGGATTGGGGAAACTTCAACTCATTGGAGGGAGGGAGGAAGGGAGAGTGTGCATCACCTCCAAAGTTCAGGATGAACCTTGTCTCTGTTCAATCATGTGCCACCTATGCTCTAGTCTAACCTATACAAAGTTCAGGAGGTTTCCCCTTCCAAAAAGCCATTGGAAATCAAGCTTGGGGTTTCTTAGCTTTGGAAGCTAAAAGCGCAGCCATCATCTCTGCTGTGTAGTTGAAATACACTGCAATTTGCTGACTCCTTCACTCACAGCTGAAACCATGCAAATGCACATCATGATCCTTTCACTTAAAGTTCAAAGAGGAAGCAGCCCCCAAGATTTTGCCAGCTGTAATAACCATGTTCTTTCAGACTTATTTTTCCAGGGACAGAGGTCTCAGATGGGGGACTGGAATCCTTAGGCAAAGGCAGGCAAATTACCTCCAGCGTTACATAAAGATTTTTACATGCCTTTGCTCCCTGCAAAACACACGGGCACTTTCCTCAGTGCCCTGCTTCATTCTGGAAGTGGGACGGGTGGGGTGGTAGAACAGAGGTCTTGCCAGTGTTCACAGTTTTGAGTGGCATCAAAGGAAAGCTAACTTGGCCTTTCATACTGCTTGTATTGTGGCTGTGCTAGCTCGACAGTAGCAATGGCCCATAATAACCTCTGAAGTGAGGGCTGGCTATATTGGCTGGGACATTTTAGGAGTTGAAGACCCCAAAAAGCAATATTTCCCCACTCTGGAGAGCAAGCAAGCAATGATAACCTGTATTGCCTCCAACACAGTTCATCTTACTTAATCCTCGAAGAATGTTTTGTTGGGAAGAACAACAGTGAAACACCCAAACCCACTTACACTGGCACATTTGCCTATAAAAGCGGTTAGGCATCTCGTCTGATACTCAAGGGCAGAGGTAAGACCAAAGGCTTGACTCAGGGCAGATAAGCCCTGAAAGAGAAGTTCGTTCTCAAACATAAAGCTAGTGCAAAACAAAGAAGCAGTTTGTAAATTTATGATGTAATCTTGAACGTTTGTGTTTCCCTGCTGTTGGTTGCATCAAGAGCTGCAAAATCAAGTACGGTCTGCAGGCCAAGAACACGCTAACTGCTTTTAAAGAAAGAAATTTCAAAAAAATACCACAACAATGCTACATCTCTCATTGCCATTGCTTTTCTTAAAAAAAATAACAAAAGCTACACTTTGCACAGAGCATGAAGGACTCACCTTTTTGGACTACAAGCCCCCTTGGGATACTGGGAGATGTAGACCAAAAAAAAAAAAAAAAAAAAAGAGGACTCACCTTTTTGGACTACAAGTCCCCTTGGGATACTGGGAGATGTAGGCCAAAAAGAGAGAGAGAGAGAAACTTCCCAAAGCTCTGGATTTGTGAGATACCAAACAGTGGGCCAGAGGCAGGAATTCACAAAATAAGCGTAAAAGGAAGACGACACCCACCTGATCCCAGCAGTGGCGATTCCAGACCGAGGCTTGGAAGCGTTGTGGCATGGCTGAAAGACCGCGAGGACCCCCCAATGCTGGAGCTGACCAGGGAGCCGCCAGAGAAGGGTGAAGAAGAGGTCGCTGTAGACCCAACCAGTTGGGCACCTGCCGAGACGTCCTTGTTCTTGCTGCCTTTCGGCCTGCCTGGCCCGTGTTTGCTTTTCTTACTGGCTTTGTGCTTTTTCTCTTTCAGGACTTCCCCTTCTTCCACGCTGAGGGATGGCATCCGTTTGTGGGCAGCGCCGCCGCTGCTTCCCCCGCCGCCGCCGCTGCCACTATTCCCTCCAGAGTTTGAGGCCTTATAGTCCACGGGGGAAGCCTCTCGGCCTCTCTGCTGGCTGACAGCGGAGGTGGAAAAGCGCATGATGGAGCCAAAGCCTGAAAAGATCACCTTCTGCTCAAAGACGTCGCCCTTCTGCCCTTCGTACAACGGGGAGCAGTGTGCTGAAGAGGAGGATGAAGAGACGGGCTTGCGGTACTTCTCTTCCTCAGGCGGCTGCTGCTCGAGCTTCGGGAAGGTTACAAAGTCCTGGGAGAAGGGCAAGGAGCTGCATGAGGTACCTAAAAGGGGATCAAGGGAAATCCTGAAACCCAAAACAGGCATGGAGAGGAGGCATTATAGCCTGAGCGGTCTTGTTTGTTCGTTCACAAAGTGCCTAAAAGTTGTGCCAAGCCCTGCCAGAGACGACAACAGCTTCCTTGCCTACTGGTCACCATCAAACAGAGAACCCTTACCACGTATCAGCTGGACGACAGAGATGTCAACTGCAAAGTCAGAACCCTCATATGAGACCTTTGGTTTCATCACTTAGCCCCTCATCTCACTGGCCAAATGCAAAATTAGCCACATTGCATGTAACGTGGTGCTCATATTCATTTTCTGTGTTGTTCTTGTCTCTATGAGAACAGCATGTATCTTAACTGAAATTACAAAGGGACCGGGTGGTGGGGGCTGTGTTAAGTCTCCTGCAGCCAGAATAGCAAAAGAAATTTCTGACACCTTGAAGACTAAAAAAGTTTATTTGATTTGTATTCTTGCATTGAGCAGGAGGTTGGACTTGATGGTCTTATAGGCTCCTTCCAACTTCATTATTCTATGATTCTAAGACTTCATGCTTCACATGCACCACCATTTATTACCCCCATTTTACAAATAGAGAGGTGGAGGCTAAGAGAATACCAGCTTGCCTTCCGCTACTGAGTAAAATAGCAGAGGTGGGGGACTTTCTGGTCTCTGTACTTCATGCTTTGTGGTCACCTGATCTCAAAAGTAGCAGATGGATAATCAGTGGCAAGATACAGTTGGGTAAACACATCCCATGTTTTAACTCCTACCCCCAAGAAAATCAGAACTCTACGCCATGAGACAAAGTGAGCACAGTTTTGGGGACCACATGGTCTTTCCCTGATTTTTACATACATCATGCCACTCAGTCTATAAGCATTGTGCATATATGTGGGTATCTGATCGTCAGCTCAGATGGTACTTGCCGTGGACGTGAGAGTTAAAGCAGCTAAGCAAATTAGAAATGCTTTACCTCTGGCCACTGACCATATCTTCTTTACTCACTCCAGCATCTGGGTCTCCAGCAAGGATTTATTTCCATTTATTTTGAAGTATACCTTGACAGGCTTAAGGGCTAGACATCTTATCTGGAATTACTTGGGGTGCATGGGCAGTGGGGGGGGGCACAATGTGTTGACGAACAACTACATAAGTCAGCCAAGGACTCTTGTAATATGTTGGAAGACATAACCATCCTCCAGAGCTTTTCTGTTCAACCATAAGGGTCAGAAACTATGGGTCAGAAACCAAACTTTTCAAAAACAGTGCTAATGTTCAAAAGCGTTGGCCACAGCCAATTACTCCCCTGTTCCCCAACCTTTGCCATCAACCTGACCCCTGCTGGTCCCCCCCCCTCCAGCTTCTTCACCTGCAGGTGGAAATGTGCCACTGGAAGTGGATGAGCCAAAATTTGTGGAGCTTTTCCCACTTCCTGATTTCTTGGCTTTATGGCTTGTGCCATGACTTGAGGATTTCTTGCCTTTCACTTCTGATCGGATGACCTCTGCCGTTTCTTTGCTGCTCTCGTGGTGGTTGGTGGAACTCTGCTGAAATATACAAAGAGCATAAGGAGAAGGAGGGGGAGTGCATAGAAGTCAGCATGGGTATATCATACCTATTAAATGCAAATGTTAACCATTACGAGACGGGGAGGAGGGACATGGTAAAGGTAAAGGTTCCCCTTGACAATTTTTGTCCAGTTGTGTTCGACTCTAGGGGGCGGTGCTCATCCCCGTTTCCAAGCCACAGAGCCAGCGTTTTGTCCAAAGACAATCTTCTGTGGTCACATGCCCAGTGCGACTTAGACACGGAACGCTGTTACCTTCCCACCAAGGTGGTCCCGATTTATCTATTTGCATTTGCATGCTTTTGAACCGCTAGGTTGGCGGGAGCTGGGACAAGCGACGGGAGCTCACTCTGTCGCGTGGATTCGATCTTACGACTGCTTGGTCTTCTGACCCTGCAGCACAGGCTTCTGCAGTTTTAGCCCGCAGCGCCACCACGTCCCTGCAGGAACATGGTGCCCATAGGAATACTGGACGCTCAAATCCTGCAATCTTGTTTAGCAGCTCTGTTCAGCAGCTGAGTTTCTGCATCTGCTTTTGCTGAGAAGAAATGGTTTACAGCCTCAAAATGAGAGCAAAGGCTGTTGCCTAGAGAGCACATAAAAGTTACCCTGTTTGACTGGAGGTTGCCTGCCGGCTGGGAGATTCTAAAGCTTGTAGCCCAAAGAATTAATTTCCCGAAGCAGTCCTCTCTTTAGGCTGCATTTTCTCCTAGATTGATGTGCAATAATGACAGGTATCACCACCAACTACAAATCAACAGCAATAGTTATCCATCTCCTATTAGTCCCAGATGAGGTTTACATGGAGAGTATAAGCCTCCTCCCCATCAAAAGCAGCTTTCTGTGCAAAAGCACTGATACCGGAATAAAAATCAATTCCATTTCCACAGCTATGCTTAATTAACCCAACACTGTGCAACAGCTGGAAGGCTACAAATGCCTTTCAGATGTGCCAAAAGTACATAGAAGAAAGACGGATGAAAACCCTAAACTGGAGGCCTGTGCATTCTCCAAATACGTTAATTCCTGGGATGTTAAACATTAAGCCCTTTCTGATGTATGCACGCCAGGGTATCCCGACAATCCATCTGAGTTTCTCCATCTGCCAAGCTTCGGAGAATGCAGAAAAGGGAAGGAGCAGTGTGGGAGCGGCCCAGCGAAACCCCCATGGGAAAGGGGAAGGGGGGGGGAAGACCCACATCTCAACCAACATACTGACCTCACTAACCACACCTCTGAAAAGAGAAACCCAGAGAACTTGCTTCCTTTCAGCAAATGCTCTCTTCACTAGTATAATCTGGAACTCAGTCAGGAAGCACAAACAAAGTCAGAGGTGAGCTGAGGGAGAGCCCGGTGGTGGTGGGGAAATAACCCAGAATCCACATAAAAGGCCTTCATTTAAACCAATCAGGCCACAAGGTGAGGGAGCGAATAATAAGGTAGTAAATGCCAGGCAGAGGCAGAAAACGAATGCTGAGTGGAAAATTCATTAAAATCTCAGCCAGCCAGCAAAGAAAGAGACCCAGATGTTTGTGGGGTTAATGGGGAGAAGTTCAGGCATTTCAGCTAAAGTTCACACAAAGGCAATCAAGGCATGAAACAATTTTGGTGGCGCTTCGTCCTTGTCCCTCTTCTGGGAGGTGAGATCTAGTCCACAGCTTGAAAAGGTTATTGTCTTGGACTACAACTCACAGAATCACCCACCCCACATGGCCATTGTACCTGAGGGATTCTGGGAATTTTTTTTAAAGCCTTGCCGGTTCCTATTTACAGAAAGACCATTCAGTCGTTTTTACCCAAACTGGAAATCTTAAGGAGTTTTCCAACTTTCCCAGTTGCTTGATTGGCTCCCAGCCTTGCATTCCGGTTGGCCATGAAGCTTTCCAAATTCCCGATTCAATTCACCCCAGCCCCCCAGTCTGCACACAAGGATCTGGCCTGCAAATCCCCCTTCACCATCTTCCTGGGTTGCTTCTTCCCTTTGCTCAGATCCCACCAGTAGCAGCAGCAAGAGTTGCTTTTGCTTGGATCCGTGTGGAAACAGTTTCAGCTTTAAACCGATGCACAGAATTAATGCCATCCGTCTGACTCCGCTTTATGGCCATTCAGTCTCGTAACAAATGGAAAAATGTCAGTGGGGGCACAAAACGAAAGATCACCACCACCAACTCCTTGACTATTCACTTCCATCCTGAGAAGCATCCCGCCCCCTCCACTGGACCTTATGGGAGTTTGGCTTTGTTGTCTTCCTCTCCTGACAACCTGCCTCCTGTATCCTAAATCACCAGATCAGCAATGTCCAGAGAGCAAATGAACATCCTGTGAACGTTTAAACAGAAAGACAAGCACACACAAACACAAACACACTCAACACACCTGACAAAAGGATACCCGATTCATGCTCTCCACCCTATGCTCCCGGCTTCCTTACCTGTGAGAAACAGGGGGGCATCTCCTGTGTTCTTGGTTGTGACATGAGCTGCTACAAGAAGTGACTGAGCATGTGGAAGATGCAAGGGAAGCTGGATGCACTGGGAGGGGCAGGATGGGAGCAAGAAAAAAACACTGGCAGCAGAACTGGGTGCCTTGGATTAGACTAGGACTACTGAAAGCAGCAGGAGGAGGAAAGAACAATAAACAATCAACCCCTGATGAGCGCTCTCTCCATACAAACAAGACAAAGGGATGCAGTGGCAACACTTGCAAAAGCAAGATGTCTTGGGCTACTGGAAGAAGAGCAGTTGCTTGGTTAGAGGGGACATCTGTGAAAGGGGATGTCCGTACCTGTCTGCATAAAATAACACCCCCATCCGTCCAATCTAGGGATTCTGTGTAGATGGGTAGATGGCCTTGAATGTCAGCTTGATAGCACAAACTTTGTAAACTACATCGCTCTCATTTTCACCAAAGTGGTCAGTCTCTACAAGATCAGAAGTTAAGTGCTTGTGTGAGAGATAACGGAATGGTCTTCAGATCCCCACTTGGGGGTGGGGATCTGCATGCAGAAAACTAGCAGGTCAAGGAGAAATGTTAGCTTTCTTCTTCCTGAAACTTGTGGTTTCCATATAAATGACATTTTGCATGGAGAAACTATCTTCTCTCTCTCTCTCTCTCTCTCACTCTCTCTCTCACACACACACAAACTATAGCTACTTGCAAAGTTTACAAGTTCAATTAAAATGAGGCTGCAGTCTTGTTTAATCTGTTGCCTTTTCCAATGACTCACCATTATGGTTTACAGGATTGGAGGTTTTCCCTTCCATCCCAATAAGACAATGGTGCTTTGACAAGAAGAAAAGATCTGCTTACTGAGGAAAACCATCTCCTCCTTGCCACAAAACACACTAATTTGACCTTCAATCTCAGATGGGCTGTAGGGTGCAGAGTAATGTACACAGGCAGGTTTAGACAGCAGGGCTGTGCAAATGCACGGTCACTGGGCAGCAGGGGCTCGATTTCTCAGAAGGTTCTTAAAAACAACACCCAGTACCATCTTCCTTCAGGACAGGCTTTCTAACAGACCACTGGCTGTGGCTGTAGGAAGAAAATTAGGATTGTCATGTGCTCAAAGATAAGGAAATGTGCCCCCCTCCCTGGGCAACATTTTGCACCTGCCCATGTAGTAAGACCATCAAGAGAGGCCTTTCTTTCAGTCCCACCAACTTCACAGGTGTGTGTGATGGGGGACACAGGAGAGGACCTTCTCTGTTGCTGCCCCCAGGCTTCGGAACTCCCTCCCACAGGAGGCCAGGCTGGCCCCATCTTTGCTGTCCTTTTGCATGAGGGCAAAGGCCTTTCTCTTCAAGCAAGCTTCCCCTTAATTACTGCCTGTCCGAGTGCCATTCTTAAATGGATTCTTGTGCCTTACTTTGTTGAATGTGTTTTAATGTTGCTTCTATTTACCATATTTTACTATGGTATTTGTTTCATTCTTTTTTTAGTATTTGTATACTTATTGGTTTTTATTTAAATACTGTCTTTGAATGATGTAAGCTATCTTGGGTCCTCCTGAAGGAGAAAGGTATGGTAGAAATGTTTTAAATAAATAAACAACTTATTCAGAGTCCACCACCACCACCTCATGCTTCCATATAGTTCAGATTCTGTTTGAGTTTACTGGCCATTCCTTTTCCCACTTCTGAGCCTAGACAATGGTTCAGCACTTGCAGCAATATTTTTCACTCAAAAGTCCCACATGACCTCGCGCAGAGGTATCATATGCATGTTAAAGAGCTTGAGGGACAAGATGCAACTTAATGGGATGCAATGGGGTCAAGCAAAGGTCTCCCCATGGTAACCTCCGGAACTGACGCTGCAGATACAAGCAGCACAGCATTCTGGATCCTAGCCCTCACCTGCGGAGTTGGCCCAGTGAGACAACATAGTCAACGGTATTAAAAGCCACCAAAAGGTCCAGGCAAAGCAACAAAGCCACACTGCCTCAATCTATTCTGACAGAGGTCAGTCCCCAGAGTGGCCACAGCTGTTTCAATGCCAAGCACAACCTGAACACAAATGGGACCAAACTGAGCTTCCCAAAGGGATCTGGCTGGCCACTGCACAAAACACGATGCTGGATTGAATTGAATCCAGCAAGCCTATGATTGGCTTCTTATACACACTTGTATTTCTCCCCCCTTCTCAAAATCCCAAGGTTAATGCAAGTTTTATGGGAAGCAGTTCTCGAAAGTGTTTCCCCCTCCAATGTAAGGCCCGTATTCTGAGATGACTAAAGCAATAGCAGAGAACAGAGTGCCTCTGAGTACACTTAGAGCCTTCCCCTGGTACAGCTGTGTATGCACAGTGAACCCACAAACAATTGAGAACGGGGTGCAGAGTCTTCAAGTGAGTTGTGGAGAATGATTGTCAGGCTTACATGAACGATAAGCCCCTTCTCCTTCTGGAAATTAAGCCCTCCTTAAATCTCTTTCTCAGACTCATTTTATATCCAAAAGGATTTAGGTCAGCTGGAATCTCTGG